AAACATTTCCCTCCATTCTTTCCTGATGTAAATGGTTTGATGCGTGAATTTCTAAATACAATAAAGATTGATATAAAGCACTGAACTTTTCATTTGCTAAATGTGCTTGTTTCTGTCCTAGAACAACGTGGTAACTGGCTTTGCCTCACATTTTCATATTTTGCGTTTTAAGGCATTTAAGTTTGTCTTTAAAATGGTATGAATGTAATTTCTCCACAAGATTCGTAGCTGCTGTGTTTTTATATATTAGTTCCACACGATGGTGCTGTTAAACCACACTCTTGCCTTTATTGTAAATAAGGATTGTTCGGGGAATGCTTTGTCGCTGAAATACAAAGCAGAGTTCTGGCAGTGACTGATCCTGCAGTACCAGACAAGGCATTTAACGACATAGGCGGCCGCCTAGAGCGCCGAATTTATTGTCCAATTCCACTTAGTCGAACGGTGCGGACCGTGCACGTCGCTTCACGTGCTCCGAGCGGCGACGGTGAAGCTTGACGTGGGTTACACACTGATTAAGACTGGCGCTACGATTCAATTAAATCTAAATGCAATTTATCATCTGTGGCGTTAAATTTTGGTCAACTGGACACAACCGTGGGAAACGGGGGTTATGGGATCCTGTGGAGTCCATTAATTGCTTTGACGATTTGAAGATGTTCTCACTCGAGAAGTTGAGCAGCACAAGGACGGCGTCCCATTAATGTTTTTTAAATTCCATGTGTATGAATTTTGTGTTTTAACTGGGTCAACTTCTGAGAAGGTGAACATGTTAGAACAAGGTAGATTTATGTTCCTGTATGCATTATTCCCCTCATCACTTGAATCATAGGTGTTTAACCATACAGCTCTGCAAAAAAAGTTGAGACCACGCTCTATACATATATATAGATATATCATAAAATATTTATAAAATCTGCATCCTGGTTTAATCCTGGTTCTGCTGGCAGAAGCCTACACTGAACTGAACCTAACAGGCTGCTTCTAGGCTCGAAGTTTCAATGACAGCGGCACACAAGGACAAAGTGAGGCAGGAGACACTGGCAATGACCAAAAACCAGCCAGGTGGAGGGCAGGAGCAATTTTCTAATGCCATAGATGACCGTCAAATTATCTGACAAGTGCCTCATAAATCAGAGGATGACCTCAAGTGACCTTCCAAAAGAATAGGAAACATTAAGGTGGTGAGAATTGTTCTAGCAGTGTACTTCACAACAGGACTGAAGACCCATAAAGGAAGGAAGAAGCCCTTCATCAACGAGAAGCAGAGAAGAGCCAGGCTGGAGTTTGCAAAAAATATACATTTTATTTTACACAGGCGCATACCCATGAATTGAGAAGTGAGTGAAATTGAAAATGTTGCGTTGGTCTCATTTTTTTCCGGAGCTGTATTCTATATTCTGTATGCCGTCTTTTCTGCACGAAAATAATAAATACGGGGTATTCAAGGCTGGTAGAGTAGGACGGGCTTCTTTTTATGGGTCGTTTGCAAATCGCCCTATGTGGCAGATTCGCTGTACTACGTGGTCTGGTATTTTTTTAGACTATGTTGACACCCCTGACTTTATAAATGTTCAATACAAACTGCTATGTTCGTACTTTGCATGTACACTGAGACATTGGAATACGCGTAGACTGCGAAATTAACTGAAACCGAAAGCACAACAACAGATCCACAGGCAACAAAACAGGCGCTGGTTGCCGTCTTGGGCATTTTCGGGAAAAGCACTATAGAGGTAAGGAACTGAAATTGTTCTATTCTAATGAGGAGGCACCGTGAACCTTACAGCGTAGATTTTTCGGAAATCGCTGCTTCCACTTAAGCGTTACACTGGTATGGATTCGTTGGCACGGCTCTTAGCTTAGAAACAATTGTAATACGGTTTGCTGACGCGAAGGGAAAGAGATCGGTGGTCAAAGGCCACACTCGTTTTTATTGTTAAATAAAATACAAAGGGGAATCCTACTGCGCGTATCCATCCATCCGGCTATCGATCGGTATTCTTGATCAGGGTTGGGGGTGTCGGGGGATGGAATTGTGGTTTTGCTTCTTTAACTCTGTCATGTAATGTATTTTCTTTGTATGAAATGTGTGCGGTGGCACTCGGATTAATAGCACAACATTGTTTCATTTCGCGCATCATGTTATTCGTCTGCTTCTGTGAAGAAGTATTTGATACGGGAAGTAGATGAAATGCATGTTTTGACTTGAATCCAAATGTCATACCAAATGTCCCCATACTCAGATGATTACCCAGATAGCACACATATGTTGAAACGACAACAACAAAAAGGTAGAAATAACGTACGTTGATCTTCAATCTTTCACTTTATATCAACATTGAATCAAGGTTTTGCCACCATCAGTTTTTCAATATTAAAAATCTGACCAAAAATCAATTCAGTTTTAACGTTGATAATTTAACACTAACCATAATTCAACGCATTTAACTATAATTCAACGTTGAAACAATAACGTGATGCTATCTGGGTAGATTGTGTTGGGAGGTATTTGTCAGTTTATTTTATATTATAACAAACACTTTACCTGTTATGTTTAAAATCGTTTCCCGATTTTGCTGTGGTCTTACCACAACTTTTTTATATTTCAGTGCAATAAAAGTTTTTAGCCATCTTGTTTGCTTTCCAGCATTATTTATGTAGCTCCTCCGACAATTATTTAAAATGGTCACGTGACCTGGCAGCGCTGCATTGCTGTCCACCTCCACTTTCTCTTCCCCCAGTTACGGCCCGGACTCTGACATGGCGCTGTCGCGGTGTATCTGTTTGGCAATCGTTGGTGAATTCACCCTGCTGTTTTGTGCTGGTGAGTGACCTATGACCAGTTTTACCAGTAACACTACCATGATCAAATTGACATACTGGTACATTAAAATAAAAACTCTAGACGTTGTTTTGATATGAAATCTTTTTATTTAATTGTAAATGTTTATTGTACCTTATATTGCTATTGTATTGCTGTTACAAAATCTCTTTCAGTTCAGCTCAGTGAAGTACAATGAACTTCCTGAAAAAGTCATGACTACAGGAGACAAAATAGCAACTTTCCTCCAACAAATATACAGATGCATGAATTCCTAAGTTAAAAAATAACAAAGTTGCAGATCTAGAAAGTTTTGATTTAGCAAAAACTAGCATAAAGTAAATAGCTGTGTACTTTGTGCAAATCACTTCTGAAAAAAAAAAATCTTATGTTCTTAAAATCCACAGCGATGGTCCAGTTGAATTGCCAGCATGAAAACCTTGGGATATCAAGGCAAAACTCAATGATCAATTGCTCAGTGAAGGGAGCTGAGGCTTCGGATGTAGACATAGGCGTTGTGATTTGGAAAAAGGATCAGTCCACTGTGCTAATGTACTACAGTAAAACAATAAAAACGAATGATCCACGATTTCAATTTGCTGAGCAGAACTGGGATACCAGAAACAGGAATGTGTCATTGTTGGTGACGGACACCCGGCTGGTAGATGAAGGCCAGTATCAATGTCAAGTGATAACTGACAGTGGTGAGGCCGAGGAGTACACCAGCCTCAAAGTCCACGGTGAGAGTTCTGTTAAGCATGCATTGTAAATAAAGTGACTTTCATGAAAATAACCATAAATCCATTGATATTGAAGAATCTCTGATGTTATCTCCTCTGTCTTCATAATGCTCCTTTCAAAAGATATTTCCTTCTGGCATGTTATGAAATGCTAATTTTTATTCCAGTGTTAATGGTGCCAATATCGTGTGTGCAGAATCTACAGAATGCTAAAGAATCAAATCACAATGTATCAAGACTAACAGCTTTTGTCTTTCATTCCTCAGCTAGGTACTCAAAGCCAGTAATGAGCTCCATTCCCAAGAACGACATACGGGAGAACATGAGGGTGGAGATCTTCTGTAACGCCTCAGGGGGTTACCCAGCTGGGGTAATTCACTGGTATGACCAATACAACACAAACTGGACCCGAAGCGCTGAGACAGATGTGGTGCAGACTGAGGACAAGCTCTTCAAGCTGACGAGCAAACTGACAGTCCTGCAAGCCTCGTCCGGCTTCCTGGGATACAGATGTGTGGTGCTCAACAGCAAGAGACAGCAGGAAGAAGTGGCGGAATATAATCTCTCATTTGCCCTAGATAATGGTGGGTTAACTTTATCTTGGGAAGCAGGAAATGTACTATATGGCAGCGCTAAACGGCAAACCATCCCACCTTCAAGTCTTCTCTCATGTCTTTCTCTTTTTTTTGTTTTCCTTTTTCTTATATTGCAGTCAGAATACATTCGAACTGGTCGCCAACACTGATAACCTTTGACATTTATTGGTCTTTTAGCATTTATTCAATGATTCATTTTCTCCACATCACGTTAACGGCATATGTAAATAGCATCGCCGCCTTCTATGTAAATGCATTTGACATTTTCTGGTTTTGACGCACCCTCCTCCTTGTTACTGTACTTTGTGTTGTAGACCCAGAAATCACAGCTCAAGCAGGGGACAGACACAGCATGACTATCACGGCCGTCCTGGTGGTCGTTGGGTCGCTGGCCTGTGGACTGTTGATCCTGATGCTGCTCAGGAGAAGGCGTTCTCAGCGTGAGTATAACCACCCGACTCAGTTTTGCTTCTTGTCCCTGACACAGTGACGCTGCCTAGACACACTGCGGTTTCAGCTGTCAGTCCAGCTCTTCTACTTGGCAACTTCCTGGTTGGCGTAGCACTGAGGGAAATTCCGTGACATGCTCTGTTTAAGTATGCAAAGCCAGTTCTCCTTGCCTGGGTCGTATGATTAGTCCTGGTTTCTCACAGTAAGTCATGAATTACACAGCCCCTTTTCACACTGCCTTTTGTCGTGTAAAAGCATAGACTTTATTGGAAACGTGTGAATACATAACTGCAAGCGTCTTGTGGTTAGGTTTTTGATTTGCCCTGCGTTCATAATGTCTGGTTTCTCACTTGTGGCACAGTATAAACTGTAAACTGTGCGCTTCCTGACCTGAATGCCCAGGTCCTTCAAGGTGACTTAACCACTGCTTTGTTTTATTATTAATTGATTTCTTTTTCACTGTAAGAGGGTCACAGCGAAAGCAGTACTTGCGGAAACTGCCCTGGGTCAGTCTGCACATTCCAGATGAGGAAGTAGCTTCTTTGCTTTGGGGAAGAGTTCAGTTAAGACGTTGCATGATGTGACCTGGCTTGTGTTTTGTTGTAAGCTGGTGCTGTCTGATTGAGCTGTAATAATTAGGAACAGCTTCAGGATATTGCATCAGAGTTCTGCGTGCACAGAGCCGAGCCAGCTGTGTCGCAGCAGAAGGGAATATTTATCATAAGCTGTGCAGCACCAGGTTTCAGTCACGATGGTGGTAATGCTGCACTAGGCATTTATCATCCATGAGGGTAATTTCAGTATTTTTTTTATCAGGGATGGCTTTTGCGCTCATGTAAGATTCTCACTGACTACTTCCTCTTCCTTTTAGGTTATCAGCAGGGTTCAGAGGTACCTGCAGGATCTCAGTTCTAGGTACGAACCCCCCCCCCCGCCTCCAGTAGGTTTGGGTATTGTTTGGGTTTTTTCCAGTATGGGTCACCAACAGTGCTGGTGCCAAAACATTGCCTGCACCAGTACTTAAGAAAAAAAGCACAAAACAAGGTCAACAAAATTAAAGAATTGCTTTTTTTATTACTAAGGCAAATTTGAATAAAAAATTGAATAATGGGCCTATATTAACACCTTAAAAATAAATATACAGAACACTTAACAAATTCATATAATAAATAAAACCTAACCCAACTATAATAATTTACCACTAAATAACACCTTAATTCTTGTGTATATGTGACTTTCAGAGTTTCAGGAAACACTTTTATATATTCTGGGTCTTTAGCACATATTAGAGACACACACACACACACACACACACAAATAACCGTAACTGCGCAAGGTTTTCTGGAATAAATCTTCCCTGAACACTAAGAACAGTTTCTAAACAAATTGAACTCAAGATAAATCAGGCATACATTGAAAAAACTACCACTGGAAAATGCCCCATTCACACCTTGCAGTTTAGAGACAACTGGGGGGTAATAAAGGTAAAAAAGAGGGTCAATATGAACAAGCTCCTAATGTTTTTCCCTTGTTTCAGTATTCTAAGTAAGTGACTCGTGGACATGACATAATGGGGGTTTACAAACTCAACTTAAAACTTTACTGTTTTTACCTTTCTGGCAAATAAATGACCGTAAAACATGAAATTTTAGTTATTTTGCCATGAATTTAATAGTAAATTGTTGTGGATGAAAAGTACGTAATACACCCAGGGAGCAGCAGAGCTGTAAACATGACGTTCAAGTCGCTAGCTACCCGAGGTATGCATACATAAATACAAATAAATAAATACAAAACACTTACCAGATTTACAAAACAACGTCCTGGTGTTGGAATACTTTTGAGTGAAGTATAGCCTCACTTCAGACCACTTAGATCTAGGCATTTTAATCATATTTAAGGTAGCTACTAGCTAACGGTAGGCGTCTGTGACATCAGAGCAAGTGTAATTTTAACTAATGATGGCACGTGACGTGCAGTGATGCTTCTATTACCTGACCACTAAAGGGCAAATATTTCAGTTGACCCCTCACACATTTAAGTGGCACCAGAATGAGGCACCGAAATCTGGATTGCAGTACGGTCCGGTACATACCGATCGTATAGCACAAGGCGCCAACATGTTTCAGTACTGAACCCTACTCTTTCTGTGAATTTTTTGTGCTTTATCTACAGTACATTTAGTCATACAGTAAACATGGCCCTTAAGAATGTGAGCAGTGATAGCAGTAACCCAAAGAGGAAAGCAGTGAGAGTAACTGTAGAACGTAAAAAGGAAATTATAGCAAGACTTGAAGGTGGTGCATGTGTGTCTGCTCTGGCTTCAGAGTATGGGATTGTCGTTTATTTAATGTCTTTTGCTTTTGTACATGTGATTTTTCACATTTATATTAGTTTTATATTGATTGTTAATGCTTTTTATCATTAGTCAGGTAGGTAGATAAGTTTAAATAGGCAATAATTTGGGCATCTGGAATGGATTAAATTCATTTACATTATTTCTTATGGGGAAATTTGACATGAACCTCGACCAGATCGCAATTTGACCAGCCTTCGGGACTGATACCGATAACCGACTAACCTCTGGGTCACATATCGAGCAGGACTTGCTGGTGGTAAAACCTGCCGATCTTGCTGGTGCAGATGAACAGAATGATGTTACATTGTTTTTCACAGAATAAAAAAAACAAAAGATTGATGTACAGGCCAGATTTAATTATGAATTATAAGCATATAGCAAGCTGGTACTTTGAAGCCTCTTAATGTGCCCACAGAACCTCTCATTCTGCCCTACAGAGAATAGCTGATTATCCAGTGCCATGTTTTTGTCTTTGGTGCTGATAACTTTGAATGCTGAAAAACTTTAAATATCGGCCTGCAATATCAGTATGTTAACTGATATATTGTGCATTTCTACATATTGTTTGTTCCATCTTCATGAAGACAATATGTAATGCAAAATAATTTATAATAGAAATTATAAAGTTATTTATTTATATTGTTCTTTTTGTGAGAGAAAATTGCAATCTCGATTCTGAGTGGGGAAAAAAAACCATGATTCATATTTTTACCCAGAATCCCGCAGTCCTTTTTTTTTTACGTTTCTGTTGTAGACATGAGGCAAAAAAACATACAATGTTAGCCAAATAACAGCAAGTGTAAATGCCCAGGGAACGCACAGTGCGTACAACTCCAAGTGTCCGTGTCTAAATCCACTATATGACCACCTTAAGGTACCTGCATGCACGTCTCCTAGACCATATTATAAAATGAAATCACGCCTCCTAAGAATACTTAAAAGTTGCTGGGAAAAATGACATCTAGAGAGCTGTCCGATTCCGTGCGTAACGGTGTGTTGTGCTTCTTGACAGGGCTCTGTGGACAGATGAAGAACATCGGAAATTTCAAGAAAGTCTGGAGATTAAATACACTGATACACTGATCTGATATTTCCATGTCAGAAATATTTTGGTATAATGTGAATTTAATCTTTTTTATGCTGGTCATTCAACTAACTGTAGCCAGGTTATGGCTGTAATCATAACACCTAGCTCTTCTGTATCACTGAATCATAGAAAAACTATGAAATATAATGTATAGTGAATTTATTATTCAAATAGTGGATGAAAATCTTAAACGTTTAATTGGAAGCATATTTTCACCATTGTACATATAAATGTTATTGTCCATAAATCAGATTACAAAAAGAATCACCTTTTGTAATTTTAAACATTTTCCATGTAAAATAAGCACTTATATTTTTATAAGTGTGTTTTTTCTGTGTTCAATAGAGCTTACATTCTTTGTGTGAAAAAAATCTTTTGTACATTTCATGTATTTTTAACTGATATTTGAGCATTGTGTTGAACATGATGTAAAAAATAAAATCTGTAATTAACCCATTTGAATTTTGAAGCGTCACTGTAGCCTGCAAGCTCATCACACCGTTTGTTGTAATTTTGTTGTTTGCCGTCTACAGATATCCTAAAAGGTGTGGGTGGGAAACAATTTTTTAAAATAGTTTTGCGTTTCCTCGTAATATGTTTGCGATCCCACAGCACTTGCCCACTTGCTGCAACGGGACAGTACGGAGAAACCTATATAATACAGACCTGTACCGTTTAGATTGGTACAATCATTACTAGTAACACAAAACTATTGCAAGGGGACCAGGGAAGTTTCTAGGTATTGAAAAGATCAGTCAGGTTTACCTGGGGCTTGACTTGTTTTGAAGGAAGGAAGGAAGATTGGCATCGGGGCTAAAATACTCGGGGCTGGGCTTAAAATACTCTGGGTTATAGCCCCTGGTGATCGGACCTAGCGGTGCCCATGGAGGGAATGCAAAAGTCTTTCAAAAAACATTTTCCCACCCTGACGCATTTTGCATTTTGTTTTTTGTTTTTTTTTTTGGGGGGGGGGCGTCACAGGTGTTAAATTATATTCAAACAAATTGTGTGACATTTGATATTCCACCTTGATTTTTTGAAAAAAGTGACAGCCCTTCATTTCATTTTTATATGTTTCTTTTAATTTTCATTTGTGAAATATAAAATCAAACAATTCACTTGATGTGATTTTTTTCCCTGCCTATAGAAATACATTTTGAATAATGGGGTGTTCTTCTGAAGGAAAGCAGACAAACCCCCTTTTCAATGACTTTATTACTGCTTCAGAATGTCACTGTTCCAGTGATTTGCTTTCCTCCGTATAAATATGGCTTTTCTTAAAAATATACACTTGCACCATCATTTAAAGAGGATTCCGTGTATGTGCTGTGGGTTCAGTGCGCTTTTGGAAGACAACCTGCAGTTCGTTGGTGTCGTCCATTTTCACATGTATTTCACCTGGTGGGTTTTTCCCGGCGGGGGGGGCAGGAAGGAAATCCTGGCTGACGTCTGACGTCAAAAAGTCCCCATTAACTACATATAGCTCCTGGCACAGCTCAGCATTCAGGATTTTCTCTCCCCTCATTGTCCTTGAAAGAAAATTCCCCCAGAGTGACTGATCCTATCAGTTTCCCCTTTTGCCATTCTTGGCCTCTACTTAATGTTCTTTGTACGAAACAAAAGATTTTTTTTTTGTCTATTTTAAATGAAAATGGCCTGTCAGCATTGCTTTGTGGAAGTGTTCAATAATGTGGCTCGAGAAGCAACACTTCTATTAAAAGTTAACGTTTCCTCTTTTTTCATCCTTAAGCCTCTGGGCAAGAAGAGAATGCTGTAGCTTGTGTAGTTTTCATTTTAAAAATTGTCTTGGCGAACAGTAACTTTCATTTGCTGAGTAATTTATGATTAACTTTAAAGGAATGAACCACACCACCCCCCCAAAAAAAACATGTTACTTTCACTTTTAGGTTGTACAATAAGTGAAGTTGCGATCAGTTTCTGGATTTCCCCCTGTTGAAATAACATGACATCATCCATCCATCCATCCATCCATCCATCTTCCGATCACTTGGATGTAATCTGCCTCATCTTCACACATAGATTGAGCTCTGGAACCCGGACTCTCTTAGCTGCTCTGTGACAAAATCTTTTTTGACCAGTGTTATCATTGCCACAGCACTGATGAATTCTTGAATCTGATTGTTCAGATGGTGTTGATTAATTTTCTATAACTGCAGACATAATGGTAGCCAGGCGAATTACAGTAGTAAATCAATGTGCTATCATAATCTTTAATTCTGCCCTGAGTAATGTTTAAGCTTCAGCAAGCTGTGAATTATACTAGAAAAGGGTGATACCACTTATTTTCTTTTCTATCTGATTTGATCCAGTACCAAGGTGCTACAGAAAGTGCGGTTTCTTCAGTACCAATCCCGATATTCTTAAGTGTGCATTAAATGGAAAACTGCTGAATGATAAGATGGTTAAGCTGGTTGATTCTAAAATCTAAAAATATTTCATATATATCATATAAATTGCCTTGATAGGACTGAGTTTGAGAGGTCTTTTATAAATGTCAGTAGTCGTATTTTATTTGTCAGGGGATTGTGTGAACCCCACACATTATGTGGTCACATTTTTGGTTTAATTTAATGCACTGGTAACTCGTACTGGTATATTATTCTGTGTAAATAACACTGTTTATATCCAGGATACAGTGATTTAATTAAGTTTTCCAAAGCTTTTGTGGAAAAAAAAGAATGAAAGAAAGGATAGTACAGTATGCACTTCGTTACAGGCGACTGAGCGCTTCGCATAACAGGACTGGCTTGATGATGTAGTTGTGGTAAGCTGAAGAAAGAACGAGAGGGGCAGGCAAACAGGACAGGACAACAAGTTTCCCCTGTGTCATTATTTCTCCTGCTTTACAGGTCTAAAATGTGTTTGCATGCCCACTGTAGCTAGTCCTGTCACATAAACATTGTTCATAAACATTCACTATGGACATACTCAGTGCATTTAATAGTGCATAAACATTCACTATTGTGATACTGATTTGAGAAACAGGAATGCTTGCTGCAGCCACTAATTAAAAACATATTTTCTCTTTGGCAGGGTTAATTTGTGAGATTCATAGTGTAGATTAGCATCTTTGTCTATGCCTGAAGGCTACATCCACATCACCTGGGAGTATAAACGACCCATTGTGTTTGACGAACAATAACTTGTCGCTTTTCTTTTATGTAATGGGTGGATTGATATGTGTATCAGCTGAATATGCTTGCTGCACATTAAAACTTTTGTAGATGGGCAATGTGTTAAAACTGTTACATGTTGTTATATTTCAATTATTTCTTGGGACATGGGGACTGCCCAGGTCAAATTGGGACGTCTGGTCACCCTAGATCTGCATCACCTCACTTCATTGCAGGGTGGAGTACAGTGATCGAAACTGAGCTTATCATGGTGAAAAGGCAGATGACACATTGTAGAGTCTCAGCGATTGCTTAAATGATAGACGTCTTTTAAACATATTGGACTAACCACTGTTCTGGCTGTAGCCACACTTTCTAAAATTTCTAACTCAGATCTGCGCTCACCCATAGACTCATCCTCCACTCCAGTTGGCTATGAACCGTCCCCAAATTGTGTTGCTCCATGGGTTAGGAGGCTGTGTCTGTGATTGGAAGGGTGCCAGTTCAAATCCCAGGGTGATTTCCCTGCTGGGAACGTAACCCCAATTGCTCCAAGGACTGGCTGTATTGTAACATTAATGTTCCCTCAACTGTGTAACCTCCCCCCGTACAATGTAAACTGATGGAACATCAAAGACTGGCAGCTTAACCCCTCTGTTAAATGCCCTAATGTTACGGTCATGCCCTGCTCGTCCGATCCTCCTGTGTGCCACGCCCCCTCATCTACCCCATGTGGAATCCTCGTGTTATCAGCTGTTTCTAGTTGTTGTTAATTAGTCTTGTGACTAAGGCCTTGTTCACACGGACCAGGTGTTTTTCTGGCGTTCGTGGCGCCAGGTGAGCGCCGACTGAGCGGCGACCGTTTTTCTGCTCATTGGAGCAAATCAAAGCGTCCACACGAGTGTTCAGCACCAGCATTCGGCCGGCTACGTGTTCAGGTGGCGTCAAATAAACGCTGTATGCAATGTTTTCTTGGCGTCAAAATCCAGACGAACGCGAGGAAATGACCCTGTTGCGTTTACATGGCGTTCGGTTGGCTTTCTGGAGGACTGAATATGTCCAATGATTCTGTACGGCAACTATTATCTTAGATACGCGTAATACGTTTGCTTTTATTTTTGATTTAAAATATCATGCGTCCTTGTCGTGCAAGCGGGGCTGCGCCGCACCGGTGCTCATGGCATGACAGCCCGGACCGCGGCGCCGTACCCGCGTAGCGGAGAGCCGGTAGCGGGGAGCCGACACTGCCCTGGATGGTCGCCGGCTGGTTAACTTTAACCAGGTTGTAATAAAGAATAGGGATCCATGTTTTCAATGCAGAACTATAAACAAAGTTGACTCACGTGTAAACACTCTGGACAGAGTAATTACTGCCCCCACAGGTAAATACACAAAACTACAGATTGGGCATCAGGCTGGTGTTAAATAGTGTTAAGCGAACACAAGTGAAACGGCAATCGAACGCAGGTACAAAACGCAGGAAAAACACATATGGCGTTCAGAGGGCATTCATTTCAAACGTCCAAGGCCTAATTGTGAATTAAAACCTGTGTTTCCCCAACTCCTTGACTCCTGTTCCTCTTTCCCCGCTCAGTGGCCCTTGAGAATAAGAATGACCAGACTCTGAAGAGGGATGCCACACCTCACCAAGGAAGACTACCTAGCCTTGGTGGATGAGGTAATTTACTGGCTTAACCAGTCAGAAGTAAAAGAGGATCTCACAGCTCGAGCCCATGCCCTTCAGTCAAGAGATCTTCTGGAAGAAATTTCCCCCCCAAAGACCTACACCTTGCGGAAAAGGTGCGGAGAAATGTATGGCAGCTGATGGGAGGAGTGGCAGAGATGATGTTAAGGCGAGTGCACCTGGGCAGTGGATTGCCTCTCCTCCCACTGTCCAGGCAGCCCAAACCCTCCATCAGTCCTGTTGCATCTGCTCGCAAAAAGCAGCAGAAAGATCGCAAACGAGAGGGTGTCTTGGAAGCCATTCCAGGACCTGTTGCTTCGCCTGCGCCCGAGGCTCGTCTCCCTGCCACTTCGCCGCCGATGCCTGAGGCTCATCTGCCCGCCATTTCAACAGCACCTCCTGTGTCAGTCCCGTCTGCAGTTCCTGTTTCGTCCCTGGCTAGGAAGTAATTTGTCCTTCAGACACTGTACTGGATGATGATGGAAGATCCAGCAGTGCGGGACTCCCCAGTGGCTGACCAACTCCATAAACAGCTTCAAGGGGAGTTCACCACCTTCACCCTAACTTCCCTGCCTCAAGATCTGGAGAAGATGGCGGAGAGCCTGAGGAAGCTGCTCCATTTGAGGGTGGAGCAAGCTTCTTCAGCAGGAGACGCTGCTTTGCCAGAGGCGGCACCTGAAGTCTCTGCTGCTCCTTTCCACGAGGCAGTGCCCACATCCATGGCGCGGCCCCCAGCCATGCCTGCACCCGCGGTTCCTGATCTAGCCCCCGCGGTTCCTGATCCAGCCCCCACAATTCCTGGTCTCCCAATGCCTGTCCCCGAGGAGATCACTGGTCACTCACACCTAGTGGAGATGGAGGAGGAGCTTGAGTGGGACCCCTCAGGGATTTCCCTGATGACTGCCCCGATGTGCCCATCCAGTGGGTCACCCTGACTGCCAACTCAGCATGGCTGATCATGGCCAGGTCCCCATCTCTCTGTGTCCCGCAGAGGGAGAGGACACCTGCGCCGGGTCCTGCTTGCCCTGCTCCCAGGCTCACCTGTGGTCCCCCTTGCTTTGGCTCAGCGGTCGCCTGCGGTTCCCCCAGCTCCTGCTCGACAGTTGCCTGCAATGGCCCCTGTCGTGACTCATCTGTCACCTGCAGTCCTGCCTCTGATGCCTCGTCAGTCGCCTGCGGTTCCCCTAGCTCCACCTCGTGGGTCGTCTGCGCCTTCACTGGCTATGGCTACGTCTTCCCCTACAGTGGCTTCTGCTCCCTCCTCGCCTCCTCCCGTGTCCCCTTCACCTTCCTGCTCGCC